TGTCTTTCATGTTATATTGTTCTTTCATTTAAAAAAAAACCAAAAAGCCATCTGGCAAGCTTAGTGCCGTGAGAAGCCATTTTACTAGGCTTTTAGCATGACTCAGCACAATTCCAAATACTTTGGTCCTAGCACGAACGACTCTCCCACTGCAGTTAACTAGACAAACGACTCTCTTAAAATGAGGTTTATAAGCCCATTTAAAGGGTCATAACATGTTGCCTCCCTTGGTTGAGACTTTCATCCTGATGGAGGCTATCGTACATCCTCAAAATAAATAACCCAGGCTCCACTCACCTCACAGCGCACACAGCAGGCCAGGGCTTTTAATGACTCACATGAGGCAGGGCATGGAAGACTCCACCGCGCCCTCCCCTCTCCCCTCGCCCAGGGGCTGCCTTGTGGTGGAGCACATGCACCAAAGAAGTCAGGGTGGGGACTCTGGTCCTCCTACTCCTGTGGAGGCAGAGATGGAAGCAGAGTGGGAAGAGGCCACCAGAAGAAAAACACATAGGCCTCATGTTCCCTGTTCCCCATCGTCTACTCACATCTCTACAGTTAAGCAGGTTCTTTGTCTCTTTGTAAGTTATGCCATTCTTTTATTATATCCCTATTTACAGTTATGTTATTAACTTGTAGATATTTTCCATTTTGAGGTAATTAGAAAAACAAAAGCGAACATGCTGTGTATGTATTCGTCTGTGAAGCTCATGTTAAATATGTAGTGTTGGGAGGAGTGGAATAGAGAGGGATTCTCCGTATTTCTCCTAAGGGGTGGTTGCCCTTTGCTGCCCTCCTTGCCTTCCGAAATAGGCAGATATAGAGGGTAATCAATGAGATCTGGGCAACAAACCATCACACGACTAGGTTTTATGCTGCAGACACGTGTCGTCCAATACAGTAGCCACAGACCATGTGGAGCTGTTATATTTAAGTTAATTGCAATTAAAAACTCAGTTCCTCAGTTGCACCAGCCGCATTGCAATGCTCAGGTCACATGTGGTTTGTGGCTACCATATTGGTCGGAGCAGCCAGAACGTTTCATCATCACAGAAATTCCTGTGGATCGCCATTATTATAAGCCTTGTTAATCACAGAAGGCATCCTTCTCATGTCACCCTCAACATCCCCTATGAGGCTGTGAGATTTGCTGAAAGCAGGAATGGTGTTTCGTATCACCTCTAACCCCAGCTCCTAGTCCAGGGCTATGCAACAGGAGGCCACTCACAAAATATACAAATGATACGATTATTCTTTCTCTTTGCTCCCATAGTAGCTACTTATCTTGGTCACAGCACTTTTCACACACTCCCCCGCCGCCCAAAAAAGTTTTTATTGTTTGAATTGAGATATAATTGACATATAACATCACATTAGTTTTAGGTGTACAATGTAATGATTTCATATTTGTACTGGTTTACAGTGTGAAATGATCATCACAATAAGTCTAGTTAATTGCATTATCACACATAATTTAAAATTTTTTTCTGGTGATGAGAACTTTTAAGATCTACTCTTTTAGAAACTTTCAACTATACAACACAGTATTATTGACTAGAGTTATCATGCTGGGTATTACATCCCCATGGCTTATTTTATAACTAGAAGTTTGTACCTTTTGACTACCTTCACCCATTTTGCCCACTCCCCAGCCCCTGCCTCTGGCAACCACCTATCTGTTCTCTGTATATATGAGGGTTTTTGGTACATTCCGTATATAAACGAGATTATATGGTATTTGTCTTTCTCTGCCTGACTTACTTCACTTAGCATAATGTTCTCAAGGTCCATCCATGTTGTCATAAATGGCACGATTTTTCTTTTTATGGCTATATAATATTCCATTGTGTATATATGCCACAATTTCTTTATCCATTCATCCATTAATGGATACTTAAGTTACTTCCATATTTTGGCTATCTATAATAATAAAAGCATAATATGCTAATTAGACCGGACATCTTTCCGGACAAAGCCGGGGCTGTGAGGAAAGCCTGGGTCCTGGGTGCCTGCTGGTGGCCCGAGGGAAGCCAGCCCGGGTCCCGGGTGCCAGAGGGAAGCCGGTGCCGGCAGCCGAGGGAAGGAAGGCCTACTCTTGCACGAATTTCGTGCATCAGGCTTCTAGTTTTAAATAATGCTGTAGTGAACATGGGGGCATATATCTTTTCCTGTTAGTGTACATTTCCCCTAACAGTGCACAAAGGTTTCTTTTTCTCAACCTCCTATTATTTCCAACAACTGTTATTTCTAAGAGAAAGTTTATTTAGAAAGTAGCAGAGGTAGAAGAATTGAGCAGTAGAAGAAATGGACTCAGGAAACAAGTTACAGAGGGAAAAGAAGGGGCCTTGGAGCTTAGGAGAGAGAAGGGTATTTCTTGTCTTTTTTTATGAAATAGTCATTCTAACAGGTGATATTTCATTCTAGTTTTGATTTGCATTTCCCTGATTAATAGTGATATTTTACACCTTGTCACGCATGCACCTGTTGATTATTTGTATGTCTTCTTTGGAAAAATGTCTATTCAGATCCCCTGCCCATTTTTAAAAAAATATATTTTATTGATTTTTTTACAGAGAGAAAGGGAGAGGGATAGAGAGTTAGAAACATCGATGAAAGTGAAACATTGATCAGCTGCCTCCTGCACATCCACTACTGGGGATGTGCCTGCAACCGGAATCGAACCTGGGACCCTTCAATCCGCAGGCCATCACTCTATCCACTGAGCCAAACCGGTTAGGGTTCCTGCCCATTTTTTAAAAATCACTTTGTTTGTTTTTGGCTATTGAGTTATATGAGTTCCTTATATAATTTGGATATTCATAATTTATCAGATACATGGTTTGCAAATATTTTCTCCCATTCATTAGGCTTCCTTTTCATTTTGTTAATGATTTCTTTTGCTGTATGGAAGCTTTTTAGTTTGATGTAGTCCCACTTGTTTATTTTTGCTTTTGTTGTCTTTGCTCATTGATTTTTACTGATTTAAAAAGTAATACAGAAAAAACTGAGAAAAAAGAAAAAAATAAAAAATCAAGAGGTAATACTCCCACATATAAATAGCCACACTTAACATTTTAGAGTATTTTCACCCAATAGATTTTTATTGTATAGTGAGGTATAATATGAGGTATGTACAGAGGTATAATTTGCTACAGTAAAATTCACCATTTTTAGATGATGTGTGTATGATGTATGGTGACTGTAAACACCACCACAAGCAAGGTACAGAACCTTTCTGTCAGCCCCCAAAAGTCCCCTCCTGCTGCTTTGTGGTCAAACCACTCTCCCCACCCGCTCCTTTGGCAGCCACTGATCCGGTTCTGTTCCTGTAGTTTTGACTTTTCAAAAATGCCATATAAATGGAGTTATGCAGTAAGTAGTGCTTTAGTCTCACTTTCATTTAGTATAATGCTTTTGAGATTCACCATGTTGTTGCATGTATCTGTTCATTCCTTTTTATTGCTGTTACTATTCTATTGTATGGATGTACCACAGTCTATTTATTCATTCTATAGTTGTTTTGGGTTGTTTCTAACTCTTGGCAATTATGAACAGACCTGTTATAAACATGTGTATATAGGTGTTTATGTTTGCATATGTTCTCATTTCTCTTGGGAGAATTCCTAGGAATTAGATTGTTACTCATATAGCAAGTATATGTTTAATTTGATAAGAAACTGACTTACAAAGTGGCTTTTACCAGTTTACATTCCCACCAACATGTTGTAGTTGCCTTTTTGTTGTTGTTGTTGTTGTTGAACCATTCTAATATATTTCAGTGTGTATTTAATTTGCATTTTCCAATTGATTAATGATGCAGAGAATCTTTGTATGTGCTTACTGGTTGTCAATATCTCTACTTTGTGGAGGTTTAAAAATATTTTGCTTATTTTTATTGATTTTTTAGAGAGGGAGTGAGGAGAGAGAGAGAGAGAGATTGGCACAGCACACTGGCCAGGGATCAAACCCACAATGTAGGCATGTGACAGGGAGTTGAACCAATGACCTTTCAGTGCATGGGATGATGCTCAACCAAATGAGCCACACCGGCCCGGACACTATTTTGCTTACTTTTAAATTTGGTTGTTATTATCAGAAATGTGTTCTATAAATATTTTCTCCCAGTTTGCATCTGGTCTTCATTTTTGTAACAATGTTTTTTGAAGAGCAGAACTTCTTAATTGTATTCAAGAACAAAGAGATATCTCTAACTACGCCATTGGCTAAATGTTGAATAGCACAGGAGATACAATAATGCTTATGTTTATACTTTATCTTTTTAACAAAATCAGCACCTATTGGTTTCTAGCCTGCTTTTCCATTATCTTATTATGAATATTTTTCACATCATTAAATATTATTTTAAAGCATGACTTGTAAATGTGCACTCTCATGGCTATATTTTATTTAACTATCTCTCTCTATTTGGGGATGCTTATGTTGATTCCAGTGAAAATTAAAACAAGAAATATATGATTACCAGTCTTTTTTACATCATTGTTTACATCCTCAACCATTGTTTACATCTCCCATCATTTTCTTAGTATAAATGCTTACAATGGCAAAGCCTGGGACAAAAGCATAGCACTTTGTTTTATAATTGTGTCTTTAAAAAGATTACAGATGTCTTGAGGCAAAGATTTAGTCTTCCCCTCCTTGTCATGCCAGTATGTGACAAACAGCCTGTCACACTGCAGCTTCTCCATATATACTTGATGGATGAATAGTTGGAGAGAAAAAGTTTTCCATTGAACTTCGTCCTCTCGTCTTCCTTTTGTGAAAGAAAATAGGAGTCCCCTGGCCATCTACCCTGCCTGCTCAGAGGGAGGAAATAAGAAGAAGGTTTCCTTCTAGGAGAAAGCCTGCCACGGAGATGCAGGTTCCCAGAGAGCGAGGTGACAAGCCCTGTTGCTGCTCAGCAACGCCCTGAAGGGGCCCCGCCCCCAGCCTGTATAAAGCCGGGGTGCGGTGGGGCAGCCACAGCTGTCAGGGCCTCTGGAGCACCGGCACCTGCACTGGCACTGGCACTGGCACTGGCACGCGCTATGGCAGATGAAGTGCAAGTCCTGCCCTCCCCGCTGAAAGGGGGGCATCCGCCCGCAGGTAGGCTGCCCACTGCCCTCTGTCCTGCAGGTAGCAAGGGCCTCAGTGCTGCTGCCCTGCCATCTATGCCTGCAACAGAGGCGCCCAACAGAGCAGAGGTTCTCAGCCTGCCATTGTTGCTCTGACTTCATGCAGCTGACTTCCTCCTGTGCCTTTGATCTTTCTATGCTGTGTGTAAACCACCTGGGGATTTGTCAGGCCCCAGATCAATTAAAACCTGATTATATAGGAGAGGACAAGGGATTGGGTGCTGGTGGGAAGAGATAGGTTGCAAGGTTGGCCCTTTCCTCCCTGGAAGATGATTACTGCCATGGAAACCTCCCTAGAGGTTCCAGCTCTAAGACTCAGGCTCCCCGAGATACTGTACGACATCTGACTTCATAGCCCGGCAAACCAGCTTCCACAGCAAGGACAGCAACCTCCAGTCTCTCTCCCTCCTCAGGCATGTGGGCTGGGCGGGTGTCAGTGATGTATTTGCCTGTCAACAAGCTGAGGAGCACTTTCTAATAAGGACTCAAACACTGGAGGGGGCTGTCTGGAAACCGTAGCTATCAAGGTGCTTTGCAAAGCATCCACAGTTCTCTCTCCCTCTCTTCCTCTCTCCCTCTCTCTCTCTCCCACCTCCTCCCCCTCTCTCCCTCCCTCCTTCCCTCCCTTCATTTTAAATGTATGCTACTTATATCAACTCTCTGGAATATGGAAATTAGTTTTATTGTACTTAACCGTATGTTCATCTAGATTGACTGAAGCATGTAGGCCTATTTTTAGCCAGTTTTATGTTCTTTCAACTGCCTGCCTCCTTTTATCCTTTCCCCATTTACAAGATTTACTTATTGGTCTAACTTGGCACCTCTAGGCCAAGGTTACTTCAGTCATCTTTGCTGCAGAGGAGGATGGCGGGTATAACCTCTGCCAAGCTGATACACTGACACAGAGGTTCAGTGGTTTTCTGGGGAGCAGCCTGGCTGAGAGAGTCAGAATTTTCACTCGTTTCCAGTTCTGGGCTCCATGCCCTGCTCTCCTGTGGCAGATGCCTGACACTTTATATTTCATTGGATTTAGCAGTGTTTAACACTGTCTATATTTAAAGTTAATGTTGCTGCCTAATGGTCAGGAACGATAAATGCTAATTATTAGAAGAGAAGGCATCACACAGATAATGACCCCCCCCCCAAAAAAAAGATACTATTCTCTTCTCACCATTTCCACCCCAATCCTTCATAAAACAGTTAAGCTAAAACCTGATTTACTAAATTACATTCATGCACAAAGGACGCAGAGATAAACCTAACCAAAGGAGCGTTCGAATGAAGCCACCAAGAACTTTCTGTCCTCACCACTAATGACTGCTAATTACTCTGTGTACATAGCACACCAGGAATCCATCAAGCATGTCACGATGCCTCTGGCATGACAATTAATTATTACGAACTGTGACACTACAGATAAGAGGTTTGGGGTAATTAAAATGGAGATGAAGGCAGACTTTTGCCTCCCCACTGAGAGCCGGGGAACAAAGAAGCCTCCTCCTTCATCTGGTCTCGCTACCTATGTTAAGTCCAAACCGGTTTGCGATGGCGCACAATTTTATTTTGGGAACAACAGTAATTCATCACCAGAATTCCATCAAATCTTCACCTGATTCTTTTTTTTGATTTTTTACAGAGAGGTAGGGAGAGGGATAGAGAGTTAGAAATATCGATGAGAGAGAAACATCGACCAGCTGCCTCCTGTACACCCCCCGCTGGGGATGTGCCCCCAACCAAGGTACATGCCATTGACCGGAATCGAACCTGGGACCTTTCAGTCTGCAGGCTGACGCTCTATCCACTGAGCCAAACCGGTTAGGGCCACCTGATTCTTAAGCAATTTACAGGTCCCGGAAAGTGGGAAGTGGGCATGTTATGACGGGAAGGATTTGACGTGGCCTTCGGAATTGGACAGACGTGGGTTTAAACCCTGCTTTCACTCCACATCTCTGAGCATCCGTTTTCTCGCCTCTAAAACAGGGAGTAATAACTAACGTGGATATTATAAGGTTGTTATGATGATGAAAGGCGATCACCTCTGCAAGGTACCCAGCACATGAATGTTAATCCCCATCAAATGCAGGCCTCGTAAAACGCATAGCCATCAGAAGAAATTACCCTCCCCAATCGCAAGTCACCGGGTGTCTGAGGGCTGCTGCATTAGACACTATTGCAGTGGGCAGAACAGAGGAAAATGCATAGAAAATATACACATGCCCGCCCCATCGCAGTTAAAAATGAAACCACTGGAAAGTCAGCCGGCGGTAACTCTTTCCCACCTGCATGTCGAGTGCTTAGCAGTTTCTCTTTCATGTATATTAATATAATATATTGCACCTCCATTAGCCGTGGCTATAAATTTATGCTGTGACACAAGACTACATTAAACATGAGCTGGCCTGGGCCCTAGTAAGCTTAGCTTTGGATTTTCTGCTTTTTGATTTGCCTCACTCTCAGTTTTATAAGAACCTCATCACAATGAACAGCCAAAAATGTGTGCGTAGAAGGTGATCAAGGAAGCCAAGTACATACGTAATGAATTAGAAAGAGCAGGAGTTCATGAGTTTTTCTGTATATTCCCTGCACTTTTTAATTCAGTTTAAGTCAAGTGAATCAGAGCCATCAGAGAGGATACCACGGAACCCCCAGAGAGAATCTGTTTTCTGGCTCATTAAAGAGAGAACGGCTCGGTCGGTGTGGCTCAGTGGTTGAGTGTCATCTATGAACCAGGAGGTCACGGTTCAATTCCCAGTCAGGGTACATGCCTGGGTTGTAGGCTCGATCTCCTGTGTGGGGCATGTAAGAGGCAGCCGATCAATGATTCTCTCATCATTGATGTTTCTATTTCTCTCCCTATCCCTTCCTCTCTGAAATCAATAAAAATATATTAAAAAAGAGAGAGAGAGAACGAAGTTTGGGGATTAGATCCCCAAATGTGAAACTAATGCAGAAAGTGGGGGGGAAACCATAGGGCCAGCACCATTAACAAAAAATAAGGGCAGAGGCTTAATTCTCTCAACTTCAGTCAGCTCAGGTCAACTTACGGGGTTTGGTCTGTGAGGTTTGAGAGAGACGCTGGAAGACCCACTTTCTCAGGCATCACGGGGACAGGGTTTGATGACCACAAGGACAAGAACAACCACATCCACCCCACACTGACTGTGCTCCTGGCGCTGCACAGAACCTCCTAGACAGGGCAACACCCCTGCAGACAGACAACGAACCATCATACTCTTCCAGAGAGGAGCAAACTGAAGTCAGCGAGGTTGTGCGACTTGTCCGAGGCTGCACACCTGGAGGGCAGTGAGCCTGAGGTTTGGGAATGAAGTGGAGCCCATGCCATGTGCTCCCGTTCTAAAGCCCTCTCTCCTTGATCCCTGCCTTCTTCGGATGGGCATCTTCTAGGTGTTGATTGGCAGCTTAAAATTTGCTGAAAAATCAAATGTAAGTGCAAAGGAAGCATTTTGCAAGCATCTAACCTTTGAATAAAGATCTTCGCATAAAAATTCTAAGTCACTAGGCAGAGTTTGCACAAATCTTTGTGGTGGTCAGTTTTTTCACATGCCTTTTCAACCAGTTAGTGAAGGAAAAAAGCTTAATTTTTCTGGCAGGCTTTTCTTTCTTTATCTTGACTGCCTTTTACGAAAAACTGTGCAAAATGTCTGGGAGATCTTAACTGCAAAAGTATTATGTAGCATTCTAAACTCAAGGGTCTATTTCTGGCACTGTAAACTACAAAAGAAGCCACAAGAATATAACTCTTACTCAGAGGCAGGCAAACAAAGTTTCATTTTCCCCACATATATTTTGTTTTCTAATGAAACTATCCAAAAGAGTGTCTCTCTCTCTTTAAAAAAAACTTTTTATTGATTAAGGTATTACAAATGTGTCTTTATCCTCCCAGTCTTACTTTTTATTGATTAAGGTATTACAAATGTGTCTTTATCCTCCCAGTCTTGCCCTCACCCTCAGTGTCTCTCTCTTTTACATGTTTTCTCTCTAGTTTATTGTGCTTATTGAAAGCACCTAAAGTTTTACCCTATGTATTCATATTCAAAGGCCTGTTAAAATGTTAAATCAGTTCACATTTCACTTCACCCCATTCCAGTTCATCCCTCTATTAATGTTCAAAAGGCAATATAGTCCCAAACACAGAATTATGTAAATGTTTGAACTAACTTAGTTGCAGTGAGACTTTGAAGAGGTCCCATGAGTCAGACCTATCGCCATAAGCAAAATGGGCAAGACTTGACTGGGTTGGGTTGTAGATGTTTATTTACAACTAGAGGCCTGGTGCAGAAAATTTGTGCACTGGGAGAGGGGAGGTTCCCTCAGCCCAGCCTGCACCCTCTCGCAGTCCGGGAGCCCTTGGGGGATATCCGACTGACCTGCTTCCCACAGTCAGACATCCTTAGTGTTGCTGTGGAGGCTTCTGCCTGAGCGGTGCTCCCCCTGCATTGAGCGTCTGCCCCCTGGTGGTCAGTGTGCGTCATAGCGACCAGTCGTTCCACAGTTCGGTCAATTTGCATATTAGCCTTTTATTATGTTGGATGGTTTGCTAGATCCCAGGAGACCAGGATAAGCGTGCTCCCAGCAGTGCTTTGAAGATGACCCTCCCACTGGTTCCAGCTGGTCCAGTCGCCTCAATGTAGAGAGAGCCTTAATCTGTGTATACCTCCATGTATCCACTATAGTATGGGAATATTATCTTCTGCTTTTTTCTGCTGTACATGCTGACCAAGTGGGATTACCTACCAGAATAAGTTTAATATGAGAACTGTGCTCTGGACATTCAAGCTGTGGTTCACTTCTTGAAATCACTCATTTAAAGCCCATAGCCCTACACCAGAGAGGATTCAAAGACTCCTGCATTGAAGTAGAAATCTCCTGGGGGATGTTTAATTTACCCTATAATGTCTCTATTTATTGTTCTTAAGAATGAAGGACTCCCATGTTTGCATTTTTTTTAAA